TGCCTCTAAATCTTGAGCGTGTGAACAATGGCTGCCAACTCCAAATCATGCACTTGGTAGTTCTTCTCATGGGGCTTCAACTGAAGTGAAGCATAAGCAATTACTCTACCCTCATGCATCAACACACATCTGATTCCAATCCATGAAGCATCACAATAAACTGTATAAGAACCCGATCCCGAAGGCAAAACCAAAACTGGAGTTGTATTCAAGGCAGTTTTGAGCTTTTGAAATCTCTCCTTACACTAATCAGACCACCTGAATGGGGCACCCTACTGCATCAATCTAGTCAATAGGGCTGCTATAGATGAAAATCCCTCCACAAAACAATGATAATACCAGCAACCCAAGGAAACTCCAGATCTTAGTAGCAGTAGATAATCTGGGCCAACTCTGAACTGCCTCAATCTTCTTTGGATCCACCTTAATCCCTTCACTAGACACCACGTGGGCAAGAATGCCACCGAGTCTAACCAAAACTCGCACTTGGAGAATTTAGCATATAGCTTCTTCTCCCTCAAAGTTTGGAGCACAATCCTCAGATGCTGCTCATGATTCTCTCGCTGTGAGAATACACCAATATATCATCAATGAAAACTATGACGAAGGAATCAAGATAGGGCTGGAGTACGATGTTCATCAAGTGCATAAAAGCTCTAGGGAATTGGTCATCCCAAAAGACATCACCAGAAACTCATAATGACCATAACGGGTCCTGAAAACCGTCTTTGGAATATCTGAAGCCTGGATCTTCAACTGGTGGCACCCCGATCTCAAGTCAATCTTCAAAAATATCCTAGCACTCTGAATCTGATCAAATAAATCATCAATACGTGGTAGTGGGTACTTGTTCTTGATAGTAACCTTGTTCAACTGCCTGTAGTCAATGCATATCCTCATAGAACCATCCTTCTTCTTCATAAAAAATACCCGTGCACCCCAAGGTGACATACTAGGCCTGATGAAACCCTTATCAAGCAACTCATGTAATTGTTCCTTCAACTCTACTGGTGCCATGCGATATAGTGGAATAGATATGGGCTGAGTGCTCGGCACCAAATCAATACCAAAATCAATATTCCTGCAGGTTTGCAAGAAATACATTTGGGAACTCCTTCACTACTGGAACTGACTCAATAGTAAGAGTATCATCACTAATATCCCTCAAAAAGGCCAAACACACCAAACACCTCTTCTCAACCATTCGTTGAGATTTCAAATATAAACTCAATCTACTAGGAGTGTGACCAAGAGAGCCTCTCCACTCCAACCTAGGCAACCCCGGGATCTCCAATGCCACGGTCTTAGCGTGATAATCAAGAATAAAATAGTACGGAGATTGCCAATCCATACCCAAAATCACCTCGAAATATCCTCAGGTTCGACTCGCTAACTAAGGCTGTCCTAGATCATTACTTACCGGTAGAGATCCGATAGTTTAAAATTGAGTAGCTTTTAGCCCTTAAACAGAGGAATATGAGTGTAAGAGAATATAGCCTCAGGTTCAACTCGCTAGGTAGATATGCCCCGATTATAGTGGCTTCGATGCGAGATAGAATCCACAGATTTGTGCAGGGTTTAGAGCCATACTTAGTGGAAGAATGTATAGTATCATTACTACCAGAAAATGGGCCTATGGGAACGATTTTTTGGCAACGGTTGTTCAACCGTTGCCATAGTGCATCTATGGTAACAGTTACAACCGTTACAATAGCATTTTGGTGATATCAGCACACTTAAGCTATATAACCGTTGCAATTGTAAAACAACTGTTGCCATAGATTAATCTGGCGCAACGGCTATATAAACCGTCCCAATAAAATTATCTACTGGAACGCTTTTATTGTAAAAAATTCTATTGGAACGGTTATTCTTTCCCTCGTTATTCCCCCCCCCCCCTCCCGTATTTTGTTACCCGCCAAAATAAGCCTTATTTATTTTATTTTTGAATAATTTTAATAATGAAAATATTATGTGAAAAGACTGTTTTTGCCCTTTCCCCATTAAAATATCGATACATCCAATATAGCTGCTGATAGCCCAAATTAAGAACCCTAGCTAAGAGACTTAGCTTCTTCGATCCATTGCACTGAACCCTCAGAGACTTCTTCGATCGATTGCACTGAACCCTCAGAGACAGCTTCTTCGATTGCAAAGCCACTCTCTCCAAAAATCTTCTTCTCTCATTCACTCTAAGAAATCTGTTGAATCTTCCTCTCTATCGTATTCCTCTCTCTCACTCTCTGAAATTGGGTTAATAGGTTTTTACACATAAGTTTTGCTGATTTAGTGGGTGTGGCAAAAATTTTTGGTATCGTGAAGGGGGTGGCAAAATTTTGAGGCATCTGCAAATTTCCTCAAAATTGTATTAGAGAATATTGTGCTGATTGTGCATAATCCAATCTGAATCTTGATTACTGTACTGGAAGGTATGTAAGTCTGATGTTGTTCAGGAACTGTAACTGATTTTAGTTGTTCTTTCTTTCTTTCTTGTATATGAATGTGACATATGGTTGTTTTATTCGTTGTTATATTTTTTCTTATTTGTTGCAGATAACAATCCATCGTTCTCATCTTTTTACTTAGTCTGCTGATGCCTTCGGAAGAAGCTTTTTAAAACACTAATAGTCGATTATAGCTAGATCTGTAGGTCATGCACATAGCAAACACCATTAGTTCTTCCAGTATAGAGGCTGGAAATGACCTCTGCACCCTCTCTATGCATGGAATCCTAATAAACCAGAATTGGCTTGTTAGGGTATAATACTAAATAGTCATTATACATACTATTCTAGGTCCAACTGAGATGTTAGATGATGTAACTGGTAGATTGAAGCTTTTATAGTGGCAGTCACCTTGCTCTCCTTTTGACATCGAGAGATTATAAAGCTTTCAAGATCCTGAGCTAGCGTGGGCAAGGAAACACCATAGCATAGCAGGAATCTGGGCATTTCGGCTGCTACCACGTTCTTGTTGCTGCTGCTGATGAGACTTGCAGCTCCTCTTTAACATAATGTCATTTCTAGTTCTATAACAACAACCATCTGCTTATCTATGCTCTGCTCCTACGCATTTTACCTACTTAGGCATGCTGATAGTACAGCTTACCTTTTCTGATCATTATTATTCATTTGTTAGACTTTGCAGTTTTCAATAGAGGAACTAGTAAAAGAGGTTCAGAACTCAATTGAAGAATTCCAGAAATCCCAACAGGAGTACGATGAGGACCCAGTTAAGCAACAGGTTAGAATTTAATTGAATCATTCTGACAATAACATATTAAATATAGTTGTCCGCAGAATCTAAAGTGACTCGATCATAATAGGAATGCAAAAACTATCTTGATAATCCAATTTGATAGGACTAGACATTGTTTCTTTCTACACCAAATATCGCACAAGTTTAAGCAAGTCTTACACCATATTAAGTAAAGTGCTTGTCCCGTATTTATATTTGTATCGATTGCTGTAGGATTGCTCTAGGGCTGTGAATCTGAATTTTTTCTTTTTTTTTGTTTTAATTTTGTGGTGTCAAACCAGTTATTTTTTGGTGAAACAGTGTTTGCTCTCCTTTTTTCTTCTCTCTTTTGCTCTAACAAATTCAAACATGCAAAGTTTAGAGTTAATTCTGAAATATTGCTTGTTTGGAAAAGCATTAGTGAAAATTGCTGCCTCAGACCTTTTTGTGAAAATAAATCCTTAATAAGTTTATAAATTGTTACGCCTTGAAACATGGGAAGGACCTTATGGCACTTAACCTACCTGTCCATCGAGCGAACGATGTTCTAACTACAGAATATGATGAGTTAATTATGAAATATTGCTTGTTTGGAAAAACATCAGTGAAAATTGTTGCCTCAGACCTGTTTGTAAAAATAAATCCTTAAGAAGTGTATAAATTGTTACGCCTTGAAACACGGGAAGGACCTTATGGCACTTAACCTACCTGTCCATCGAGCGAACGATGTTCTAACTACAGAATAGGATGAGTTCATTCTGAAATATTGCTTGTTTGGAAAAGCATTAGTGAAAATTGTAAGTATGCATGTGTTATTTCTTTATAAAGAGTCAGCATTTCCCGGAGAAATTCACTTATTGACTCAGAAGGTAAAAGCTCAAGAAATGATATGTTTCATGATTTATGATGAATTAAAAATAGTACTCTAGCCTTTAATACCAGGTTATTGTTTAACTAACACTTGTGTGCTAGATCAATAACTATAGCTTGTTAAATCTGATTAAGCACAAGGAGCTTGATTGTAATATTTCCTAAGTCTATTTTCAGGTTTCTTCAGTAAAGATTTTGTTTTTCACCTATCTAGTTACTAGTTTCAAGTAGACACCTTTTTCAGAAGAAAGAAGAAGCAAGATATTTGGTGAGGTAAACCTTCTGCTTTCACTCAGTTTGTCTTCTTTCTGGTGTGCAACTGACTGTGTATGTTTGTGCTTTTGAAACTGAAAATGGGTGTAGTTTAGCCTTCTGAAACTTATTGTCTAGGTCTTTCTGGTGTGACATTGCTTCTTTATTTTTGTGCTTTTGAAAATGAAGGTGGTTGTAGTTAATTTTCTGAAATTTATTTGGATGAGGGTTTATATAGCCTATCCCAACTAGCTTAGGATTGAGTTGAAGTTTTTGTAGTTGTCCGGTTGGTTTATTAATTGAGTAAAGATTATGTTTTTCTGAGTTTGCACTATTTAATTCTTTTGTCTAAGTATATGTTGTTTTCTCAATGGTCTTTCTGGAGTGCCACTGCCTGTATATGTGATGCTTCTGAAATTGAAGATGATTATAATAATTTTTTTTTGTAAAGGTTTGAATTTTTTAACTATTCATATTATAAGAGATAATTTTTAAGAAATTAACTTCTAAAGGCCTTAAATTGCTTTACTGTTTGTGACTTTCTGAGTTCCACCCTTAAAAGCAGTGGTTAATGTCAAATTAATATGCTTTTGGTTTATTTGGTTAGTTTTATTGATTTACTTTTATCGTATAGGATATCTATGGATAATGGTGATAAAAGTTGGATGAATCTCTTGAGATGGACAGATGAGTATATCCGTGGAGTGAATGATTTTCTTGATAAGGCGTTTGAACGAGCCGCCCAAGGAAATAAAATATTATGCCCTTGCAAAAAGTACATGAATCGCTATTGGTATTATAGAAATGTGGTGGAGGATCATTTGGTTGTTCATGGATTTGTTGATGGTTATACCAAATGGGTTTTCCACGGGGAAGGATTTTCCTCGAGAAATACACATCATCCAAGCAATGATGATGAAAGTTCTACCATGCGTGACGATATTGATGGACTACTTCATGATACATTTAGAAATATAGAGGGTCGGGCAGGGGATGAAGAAGGAGTTGGGGAAAGACTATCTGAAGATGCAAAGAAGTTTTTCAAATTGCTGAGGAAGGAAAACAAGAGTTATATCCGGGGTGTGAAAATTTCAGTAAACTGAATTTCACTATTCGATTGTACTTGCTTAAATCCTTGCATGGGTTGAGCAATGTGGCTTTCTCCGATTTGTTAGAGTTGATAAAAAAGGCATTTCCCTTTGCTCAGGTACCAGAATCTTTCAACAAGGCTAGAAACATGATAACAAATTTGGGTCTTCATTATGAAAAAATGCATGCATGTCCTAATGATTGCATGTTATTTTGGAAAGAAAATGCGAATGCCGATAATTGCTCTATTTGTGGGTCTTCAAGATGGAAGAGTGCTGGTCCTTTGACTAAAGCAAGCTCTAAAATCCCTGCAAAGGTTTTAAGTTACTTTCCTTTAAAGCCTAGGCTTCAGAGGATATTCATGTGTCCTGAAACGGCTGTTGCAATGAGATGGCATGCTAATGAACGACCCAATGATGGGAATATAAGACATCCTGCTGATGGGAAGCTTGGAAGGCTTTTGATACTTTGGACCCAGACTTCCCTAGAGATGCTCGAAATGTTAGATTGGGTCTTTCAAGTGATGGTTTCAACCCGTTTCGGACCATGAGCATTTCTCATAGCACGTGGCCCGTTATGTTAATGAACTATAATTTATCACCGTGAATTTGCATGAAGCCAGAGTATATAATGTTGTCTATGATCATTCAAGGTCCATCATCTCCAGGAAATGATATAGATGTGTACCTACGACCATTAATTGAAGAATTGAAGGAACTATGGGAAACTGGGATAGACACATTTGATGCTGAAACCAACCAAACTTTCCGAATGCGTGCTGCCTTAATGTGGACAGTTAGTGACTTTCCAACATTAGCAATGCTTTCGGGATGGAGCACTAAGGGGAGATTGGCATGCCCCACTTGCAATTATGACACATGTTCTCAATATCTCAAACATAGTCATAAGATGTGTTACTTGGGCCATCGAAGATTTTTGCCTCGTGATCATCCATTCCGACGAGATAAGAAGTCTTTTGATGGTAAGGAGGAGCATAGACCTACCCCTGCTCCATTGTCGGGTGAAGAAGTGTTTGAAGAGCTGCTTGAATTCAACAATATCTTTGGAAAGAGAGCTAAAAAAAGGCCTCGGAGTGACAAGGGTCAGTGGAAAAAGAGATCCATTTTTTTCGAATTGCCATATTGGGTGCATAACAAATTGAGGCACAATCTTGATGTGATGCACATCGAGAAAAACATATGTGATAGTTTGCTTGGGACTTTATTAGAAATAGATGAAAAAAGAAAGGATCATGAAAAATCTCGCTATGACTTACAATAAATGGGGATACGAAAGGAGCTGCAACCAAGAATAAATAATGATGGAACTATAAGTTTGGCTAAATCTTGTTTCTACATGGAACCAAAACAGAAAAGTTTGTTTTGTACTATCATGAAAAATGCTAAATTACCAAAAAGGTGTGCTTCGAATATTTCAGAACGCGTGCAAGTGAAGGAGATGAAAATATCAGGGTACAAGAGTCATGACGCCCATTTTATAATGCATTACTTGCTCCAGGTTGCTATTAGAAAAGTGTTGCCCAAGAATGTTTCATTGGCCTTGATTAGGTTGGGAAATATCTTTAGAGCTATATGTAGTAAGGTCATAAGGCGAAGAGATCTTGAAATAATGCAGTCTGAAATTGTTGAAATAACATGTGAGCTTGAAAAGATTTTCCATCCAACATTTTTTGACATAATGCCACATTTGCCTATTCATTTGGTGGATGAAATTAAGCTTGGGGGTCCGGCTCATCTTCGTTGGATGTAGCCCATTGAGAGGAACCTATGTAAGTACAAGGCCTTTGTACGTAATCGATCTACTCCAGAAGCGTCAATAGCAGAGAGGTTTTTGGCCGATGAGTGCTTGACTTTTTGTTCGAGATATCTACATGATGGCGTGAAGACAAAATTTAGTAGGTATCAAACTGTGGATGATGAGTGGTCTCAAAATCTATCACCTATATTCCCTAATATAGGCCATCCAATTGGAAGTAAGAAAAAAAATACTTTTCTCATGGATTCGCAGTTATGCTTTGAAGCACATCGATATGCTCTGTTCAATACTGGAGATGAACAAATAGAAAAGTTTATCGAGTAAGATAAATTATATTAATATTTATTTATTTTTATATAATTTTTTCTTTATTATATGATTAAACTGAAAATGTTCTTGATTGCAGGGAACATAAGAATTTAATTGTTAATCATAGTAGATCAAATGCATGGGTAAGAGCGAGGGATCATAGTCGGGAATTCAGCAATCGGTTTAAATAAAAAGTTAAAAATATTGTATTGCCAGATTATTTAAGATGGTTAGCCAAAGGACCTAATATGGTAGCCAAAAGATACACAGGATATTTTATTAATGGATACCGATTTCATACTAAAGAACGGAATTCCCGAGGCAAGACTCAAAATAGTGGAGTGACTTTATCGGCAACAACAGATAGTTTTGCTAGTGCTAGGGACCAAAATCCCATCGATGGCGAGGTTATTTATTATGGAGCGATTAAGGATATCATTGAGATTGATTATTGGGGTTCTTTTAGTGTTGTACTGTTTAGATGTGATTGGTTTCATAATGAAATAGATGATTATGGGTTAACTCGGGTGTACTTCAATAGATTATGCGGTACAGATGACCCTTTTGTGTTGGCATCACAAGTTTATCAAGTTTTTTATGTGGAGGATCCAATTGAGAAAGATGTTTATTATGCAAGGAGTAAAGTACCTGTTGATTTGTATGATCTGGAGGAAGAGAATTGTCCCAATATTGGAGACATATTTTGGCGGGAACCTAATAATGATATTGGTTCCTCATCTACATTGCTTGATGATGACATTAGACGGTCAAGAGAAGATGTACCAGTTGATATCATTGATATTCCATCTCATGCACAAAATTCACATGATACAATTATGGAAACATCGGAGGAGGAGGATGGGTTTGATGATACTGATTGGGACTGGATGGAAGCAGATGATTAAATAACAAAATTATGAAATTCTTTTAAGTTAATTCTTTTTGAGTGAGTGATAATGGATTTTTTATTTACAAATATTTTATGATTATTTTTATTTACATCCTTTAGAAAATTATTCTGACATGCTTCAATTTTGCAGGATTTGAGAGAGATTTCGGATACTTTTGTTCGGTTGTTGAGGCCCGTCCCTTCTCCTACGTCCTCTTTGGTTTAGTTGGTAATTTCTATCCTCCATGAAATTATAGTAATATTTCACAAGAATGTATGAATGACAAGGGGGGGAGCCTTTTCTTTCCTCCTCATTGTTGCCTGGGTTGTTGTGATAGATAAGTTGAACGTACACGATGCACCTTACCACTTCTAGTAGCAGTTCTTGTCATCACAGCAGTATAGCTTCTTTGTCTAACATGACTTCAATTCAGATTTAGGATCAACCCAAGAAAAATAGAATTGAATTTTGCTTTATGCCTGTGGTTCAGACATGTTAACATTTTGGTGCACTAGAACAAACAAAAATGCTTGTAGAGAGAATAAGATTATATGAGTAAATAGTATTGATGCAACCATGGTTACTGGTTGATCATGTTATCATATGGATTTAGCCATTTACACTTGTCCTTTCATCATGTTTCTTTCCGCATCACAAATGTGCTGCAATAAACTTTGTGCCCTATGGTACAAGTTTGAGGATAAACTCCATCCTATAAAATCCATCTCATTAGTAAGTTATTAGTGCTTGTAATGCAACTTAGAATTATGTTAGTTAACAGATGATTGATGCTTCATCCTCTGGTCTGTCTAATAAGTGTCACTTGTGACAATAACAGAGCTTAGTGTATGCACTTGTATGTAAAGTACAAGTTAAGCCAACTGAACTGATAAATAAGCATGGAAAAATGATCTGATTAGTTAATCCAGTAAAAACAGTGACACAAACCACTGTAATATGCATAAGCAGTCTAATTGGAAATGCAGAAAGGAAAAAAAATATCACAATCAAAAGGAGTTGCTAATTTTTGACCTGGAAGAAGATCTGTTTTGTCCCTAAGCTCAAACTCCACGATCAAAAGGAGTTGCTTTACCATAAGAATAAACTCTAGAGCAAGTGAAAAAGAGGCAAGAGAACCAGATACTGTCTACTGCTCATGTATTGGAGCTTGTTTCATGACCTTCACTCCTATAAAACCTATTTCAACTTATTGAAGTTGCTCTTCAGGTTTGGTATTGTATTGTGGACTCATTTTGGTACTTGTTTTAAAAGTATATCAAGGCTGGATAACAGCCGCTATGAGCAACTTCTGTTCTCCTTCAGGGAATTTTCAAGTTGCATGCTGGCTCCATTGATTATTAATGCACTGGTTTGTTAATTATAAGCATTAGAAGGTGACATCTAATGACATCTAATGCAGCTGTCTTTTTTAGTTTTTCCTTAGAATCTGAAATTCTTTTCAAATAGAAATTGGAGACCCTGCATATACTGAAATAGTTGTTTTGTTCTAGCATAGTGAACTTGGAGCTGATTGTCTGTCTTTGTATTTCAGGTTGAAGTTGAAGAACAGCCCGAGATATCTGAGTTGTACTCTGTTTCTGCTGTTCCTTACTTTGTATTCTTCAAGGTAACTCACATGGGAATTTGCTTTCCTTGTCCATGTACGGTTTGTACATCTGCTTGTGTTTGTAAACCTGAGAGATGGAGAAGTGGTCTGCTTGTTATTATTTCATCCTTCTTCAACCAATTCTTTTATAGCTCCTACCTGGCATGTTCTGACCAGTCTTTACGTTTCTTATGTGGTNGTTTGATTATCAAAACACAGCCTTTTTTGGCGATTACTTCATTTACTGTTTCTCTTCCTTTTCTTTGTTGAGTTTTATTACGCGGAATTTTGATCCAAATCTTGCATTATTTCTTTCAGCTTCACCTGAAATATATATTATTCAAGCAGATTTTAGTTAGAAATGATATACTATGTTTGCTGCTTTTGCTAACCTATATTGTGTTTGCTTTTCAGAATCTGAAAAATATTTGAATAGTCATGAATCAAGAAGGGTGCTCAAGCAAAAATAAGAATATATCCAACCGCATTCCAGCTGGATCACTTGCATCTTTGCGAAATCAAAGGGTTTCATCGTTGACAACAAAAAGAACATTCCAAGCTACAAGGTCAAATGCAAATGAAGAACGACAATCAGAAGGTGGATTACCTTCATCTTTGCGAAACCAAAAGGTTTCGTTGTTGACAACAAAAACAACCTTGAAAGCTCTAAGGTCAAATGCAAATGAAGAACGACAATCCGAAGGTGGATCTCAATTGCAAGAACAAGTGCAGCAAGTGCCACAGAATTGCACCTCTTCAGCAACACAAGGAGTACATGAACAAGTGCAACAAGCGAATATGGATTCCATCACTCCTGCATCAGAGGGAGTACATGAACAATCTGATGATTCTACCACTCATGAAGCAGCTGAACAAATTGAAGAACAAGGCAAGTATATATAAATTTTAATCATAAACTTAACTAAAAATAGCGATTAATCATTATCTTTGTTTTGTACTATTGCATGCCCCTCCTCGCCAAAAAGAAAAAGAGGCCGTACTCAAATGCCAAATGTTCATGGTAGAAAGGAGCGTAAAATAATCACTCTAAATGAGTATAATCAACCCGTTGGTCCTACTAAAGAGGTTATAAAAGAGTTGGGTAGCTTCCTTGGCATATTGGCAAGGAGTGGGACTTTTTGTCCTCTTAATGTATTTAATTGGAGGAAACTAGACACAAAAGATGATATGTGGAGATATATCAAGGTATGAAGTTCCCAATGTCCAATAAACATGAATGATATTTCTTATTTCTTATACTAACCCAATTGCACTAAATTTGTAGGAAAAATATGACATTCTTGACGAGGCGAAACATTGGATTTTTGATTCAGTTTGTAGTGCTTGGAGAAAGTATAAGAGTCAATTGAAGGCAACCCACTTCACAGCCTATGAGAATGATGAGCTTCGAATGAAGAATAGGCCAGTAGATGTTCCGGAATCTCACTTTAAGGATCTTCTTAAATATTGGAACTCCGATCCACACAAGGTAATTACATCCAGAATCTCTTGTCTTGTTTTAACATAATTGTTTTTTGGTGCCTGAGTCAAAAGAATTATAAGTAAAATATTACCGAACACTACAGTTTTGGTTGTGAAACTGTAATGTATATACTAAGCATAGGATATTGTTCTTCTTCAAGTTTTAATTTGTGTTCATCTTTGCATGTATCAGTGGCTCATTGCAGCCTGTTTGATGA